TTTTATTACAAGTACTTGTATAGCGCCGTCAGTTTATGCAGTGCTTCACATATATATTGTACATTCACATCAGTCCCTACACCCATGCAAGTGTGCTCTCAAAATGGGCTGTGTGCATCCACAGACACACACAGTCCGCCTTACCCCCACTCTCACCTTCTGCGCTCAGTAAAGCCTGTGAATACAAGTAGAGAGGAGAGCGTGGCTGCCAGAGGGGAAAGAGAGGTGTGGCAGAGAAGTGTTAAGCAGAGGGGGGAGGCACAGACACTGTACTGTATATATAGTGCTGCACAAACTGCTGGTGCTATCTCTCTCTATCTATCCATTCAGTCGTATCCAACCCTTGGCGATTGCATGGACCATCACTCGTAAGTGACTTTTTCCAGGAATTCTCTTAGCAATTATTTTACACGGTAGGTTGCCAGGTCTTTCCCCAACCCCTACCATGCAGGAGATCCCGCATGGCAAGGGATGAAACTAGGACAATTTAGAAAGAAGCCAAAATAACCTACCAGCATGTCTTTGGAGTGTGGGAGGAAACCGGAGTACCCGGAGGAAACCCACGCAGGCACAGGGAGAACATGCAAACTCCATGCAGGAGGTGCTATGGTTGGGAATTGAACCATGACCCATTTACTGCACGGCAGACGTGCTAACCACTAAGCCACTGTGCCGCCCATTGGTGCTATAGAAATCCTTTATAATAATAATAAATCAATGAAGGTAAAAAAAAAACCATTGACTTTAGAACCACTTTAACTGTTCTCTAAGGGTCAGTTCACACTATAGAAACGCAGTCCAGATGTGTTTTGGATGTGTTTCTGCCTGCACATTTTTTTACGTTTTTGATGTGTTTTTGACACGTTAAGGTGTGTTTTTGATGCGTTCCAATTAATTTTGTCCCCTCTCTTTTTCTTCAATTTAAATAGGGACATGTGCGCTCCAGTGTGTTTTTGGTGCGTTTTGATGCGTTCTAGTGCATTTTTGTTGCGTTTTACCACGTTTCAGTACAGTGCAGCATGTTCTACTTTTTTTCTGCAATCGGAATGCACTGAACCTGCAAGCACTGATATGAACTATGACATTGACAACCATAAAACTTACTTTCTGTGCGTTTTGATGCAGAAAAAAGCACAGTAAAACACATGTAGTGTGAACTGGTCCTAAAACAGTTCAAGGCATGCTATGATTAATAACTGTCACAGTTGCTTGTGCTCTCCACAGAACTCAATGTTTAGATCCAATTTAAGCTGAAGTTTAGCTATGCATTTTCTAACATAAGTACATTGGTTCAGCTGTACCATACCTGGCTGATCTCTATGGAAGCTGAAATCACTGTAGTGGCCACCGCTCCTGGGTCCTGTGTCTCTGTCCTGTTGCTCACATAGTGATCACAGCAGCTCATTTATGGACACCATTTCCAGAACACCTTGCATTTTTTTCAATGAATGCAAAGTGTTCTCTGTTCGGATTAGGTGGAGATCATGCTGTCACCATCCAGCTTCGCAACCTTCATCCATTCAGAGAATTCCTTGCAGTCATTAAGAGAAATGCATGGCGTTTTGTGAATGGTGCCAATGCTGAGTGAGGGGCATGGGAGCGGGAGGCAGTGGCAATCACTCTAGCAGTGGTGCCTACTACAGTGATTTCCAGCTTTCACACAGATCCCAGGGTAAAAGACTTGCATTGGTCCAAGCTGGTTGAATGTAACTATGCTATAAAATGTCATACCTAAACTTCAGCTTTGCAGCTAAAGAACTGATCCCATAAAGTCTTATACATGCTTTTAACAAATAGCAATGAGGGGAATGTATCAACACTGGAGAGGCCAGAATCGGGAGCAATCACTGAAAGCAATGTGCCTAGCACAGCCAGCCATGGATGGATCAAATCTCATCCGGTTCATGCTGATCCATCTATGAGCAAGCTGGTTGTACTGAAGTCCATCCATCCATCCATCCATCCATCCATCAACTTCAGTGCAATCAGCCTGTCGGATTTTTTTGCATGCAATCACTGCCGACAGCTATAGCTACCAGCAGTGATCTTTGTGTTCTGCCGACAGGAAGGCTTCCCACTTGCAGAACACAATAGCGGTGCAGTGAGGATTTCCCCATCAGCAATGACTGTGTTGATGGGAGAATCAATCTTTTTTTTTCCTTCCACCATGGATGGAAGGAAGGGAAATTGTATAATCTATGGGCTGCTTTAGAATAGAATTTGTTCCTGCAGGATATATTAATAAAGCGAAAAATATTTTTTGTATCATGGTGTATGGCGTTCTTGTTGTCAGTACAATTTGTTGATCTGCTGGAGATGAGCTGAGCCTGCATCTCAGATGTGAATGTAGAGTGTGAAGCCTGATCTCACCATATTAAATATTTGACATTAGAATCTGGAGCAGATGTGCATGGCAACCAATCAGCTTCTAGCTTTCATTTCCAAAAACTAACTGAGCAAGCTGAAGATAACTGCTGATTGGTTGCCATGAACACTTGCTTCTGTTCTCTCTGCTCCAGTTTTGATAAGTTCACTCCAATGAGTGATCTGTAAAGTGTGTTTACCCTGAGCCACCAGTCGGCAATCTTTTTCTATTACTCCAACTGCCGAAAGCCAAGAAAATCTGGTGCAGCTCTGCGATGAAACCAGTCAGCTTCCATTTTTTTTTCTCAAGGCTTAATTGAACAAGCTGAAGTTAGAAGCTGATTGGCTGCATAGCTGCACCAGTTTTTGCACTCTCCAGTTTTAGTAAATCAACCCCTATATCTCTTTATAGTGTCTTATCAAATAAGTCTGTGCTTAGCAGCTCTTAAAAAGAATGAATCCCATAAGGTCTTACCCTAGGTTCACACCAAAGCATTTTCTGCAGCGTTTTGCGGAAACACAGTACAATACATTTAACATGATTTCCTATGGGACATGTTCACATCTGCGCTTTTTCACCGGGTGCGTTTCTAAGGGTCCCATTGCTCACTGCCCAGACCATAGAGCTTGGTTGGCATTTGCCATTGAACACCAGAATTGGCAGGTCCACCACTGGCACCTTGTGTTTTTCACAGATGAGAGCAGGTCCACCCTGAGCACATGTGACAGATGTGAAAGGGTCTGGAGAAGCCATGGAGAATGTTATTCTGTTTGTAACATTGTTCAGCATGACTGGTTTGGTGGTCAGTCAGTGATGGTCTGGGGAGGCATATCCATGGAGGGACATACAGACCTCTACAGGCTAGACAATGGCACCCTGATTCCCATTAGGCATTTGGGATGAAATCCTTGGACCCATTGTCAGACCCTACATTGGTGGAGTCCTGGGGTCCTCCTGGTGCACAACAATGCTGGCCTCATGTGGCGAGAGTATGCAGGCAGTTTCTCAAGGATGAAGGAATTTATACCATTGAATGTCCCCCATGCTCGCCTGACCTAAATCCAATAGAACATCTCTGGGATATGTTTCGGTCCATTCGACGTCGCCAGGTTGCACCTCAGGCTGTCCAGGAGCTCAGTGATGCCCTGGTCCAGATCTGGGAGGAAATACCCCAGGACACCATCCATTATCTCATTAGGAGCATGCCCCAACGTCAGGCATGCATACAAGCACGTGGGGGTTATACAAACTACTGAGTACCATTCTGAGTTCCTGCAATGAAATTTCAGCAAAATGGACTAGCCTGCTGCATAATTTTTTCACTTTGATTTTTGGGGTGTCTTTGAATTCCTCTGTAGGTTGATAATTTTCATTTCCATCAAAATGATGGGGCATCCTTACGTTCGCAACACATTTCCCAGTCCATTTCAGTATAGAGAGCCAGCATGATATTTTTCCCCATTGAGATCTGATGTTCCTTTAATTGTTTTGAGCAGTATACTACCTTGCTTAATTACCCAAGAGCAATGGGTGGTGTGCACAGTGCAGTAACACACTGCAACCAATTAACAATACTTTTTCAGCTAGGGAAATACAATCTGATGGTTGCTATGGGTTACTGCAGTTTGATTTAGTAAAGACACTTGTGCTCACTAAGTAGTAATGAGTTAAAATCCCAGAGGATCTTATTCATTCTGATCTATTCAGTAAGAAGAAAAGCATTTACTAAAGTACATACTTCAGTGATCCAGAACAACCAATCAGCAGTCTTATTTCAAGTAATCCCTGTCACAGATGGTCACGATTGGACGCGTTTCGCCATTCCAACTTCCTCTAGGAGGAAGACGGAATGATGAACCGCGTCAGATCTTGACCATCTGTGCTGTCAGCATGAACGCCGGCACCACATGGCCGGATCACATGACCGTTGCTGCGGGATTCCTATTCAGAAGAGTGTTGGGGATTACTAAGATTAATCTTGATGATGATGAGATCAGAAGAAGAGTGATCAATACTTTATTGGATGGATGGTGATCTTGTTCTGTGATACTGAGGTGGAATAGCCCACTGTCAGTCCTGTAATCATTCAGCACCAAGGAGTTTGATTTTCCACTGCTGGTTACTCATTAGTATCTTGTGAGTGTTCAATTTGATGGGGTGTTAGTCACTGGAGGATCACAATGATGGTGAATTGAACAACCTTAAAGGAATATCACAGCAATGAAATTAACTGAAATTTATTTCACACTTTGCACACTTTAGTGGAAGTTTCTTTATTTCTTTTCTCTTTATGTGTTATTGATTTATATATGATCCTTTGTTGCTTTGGGTAAAATTATTTAACTGAGTGCTGTTATGAGGAAGTTTTAATTACTCATATATTTGTTTATTTTTTATTTAAAATGAAAGTTCTGTTACACTTTATGTATATATTTTGTTGGGATTTCACTTTCTCCATCATTCAAAGCACGGGGCTATAGGCTGTTTTTGTAGCTTATTCATATATATTTTTTATTATTTTTCAACCTGTCATCAACTTTGACAAGCTGCATGCAGTAGTGCTGGGCACTGCACCTGTACTCTCGGGAGCACTAAAACACCAGGGTTGCATGTACAGTAGCTAGTCGCCCCCAAGATGAAATAGGATTGCTATACAGTCAGGGGCAGACTGACAACTCATGGGGCCCCCGGACAATAGGGGATCATGGGGCCCCTGTGCCTTACCCAAACTCAAAAAAGCCTATGAAAAAGGTACCAGGGGCATCTCATGGGGCCCCCTACTGACCCCGGGCCCTTGGGCAGTGCCCGAGTTTCCAAATGGTCAGTCCACCCATGTATACAGTATCAGTGGCGTCCCAAGGCAGGTGCAGGGGGTGTGTGCCGCACCGGGTGACACCTACCTTAGGGGGTGACACCAGACTTGCTCCACAAAAAGGAAAGTTGTAAAACAAGCCGTCGATCCCCGCAGGATGGATCGGATCTGCAGATTGGGGAGCATAATGGATCGGACTCCAATCTATTATGCTCAATCCACAGATCCGATCCATTCTGCGGGGATCGTTGGAGGGGGTGTCACCAAGTGTTATCGCACCCGGTGACACCAACCCTAGGGACACCCCTGTACAGTATATACAGTATACAATCTTAGTGTACAATCTCCTTTAGATTTACCAAAACTATGTAATTTGAACATAAGCCTGAACAATCTGTCTGGCTTGTGTCCAACCAGGCAGTTGCTTGTACAACATAGCTGCGGGTAGATATAAAGGAGATTGTACAATTAAATTGTATAGTGTATGGTCAGCCTAAGTGCACACTTTCCTTACACTACCGCTGGATCTTTGTTATAGAATGACACCTTCCGACAGGTCTTGTGAGAATGTCGACAGCAGCAATTTATTGAAGAAAGCTGATGTATTACATGACATAGCAGGGGCGGACTGACCATTTGGAAACTCGGGCACTGCCCAAGGGCCTGGGGTCAGTAGGGGGTCCCATGAGATGCCCCTGGTACCTTTTTTTTCATAGGCTTTTTTAAGTTTGGGCAAGGACACAGGGGCCCCATGATCCCCTATTGCCCAGGGGCCCCATGAGTTGTCAGTCCGCCCCTGTGACATAGTATTCTGTAACCATAATGCAGAACTGCATTATTTACATTTGTAATACACCCTCAGTGTTTATCATCTCTTTCAGTGTTGCTTCCCTGAACTTCCTGTTTTCACAGGAAGGAGTTAGGCTAGGTTCACACTTTATTCGGGTGTTGGAATTACATCTGTTCCTGCACCTGCAACCACCCACAGGCAAAAGTCAGGGCAGATGTGCTGGGCTGCCAATCGTTCGTAATGGCACCCCCATACATATAAACAATAGGGGGTTATTTACTAAAATCTGAGAGTGCAAAATCTGGTACAGCTCTGCGCAGAAACCAATCAGCTTCTGGGTTCTATTGCCAAAGCTTAACTGGACAAGCTGAAGTTGGAAGCTGCTTGGCTACCATGCACAGCTGCACCAGATTCTAAGTGCACCAGTTAATCAATTTTTCCTGCAGCTACAGCAGCCCATTCAAGCGAAATAGGCTGATGTGCCTGCGCAAATGCACCGAACGCACAGGTGTGAATCAAGCCTTAACAGTGGACAGTGCAGGTCTCCATTCAGTCTATTAGCTTGAAGTAAAGATTGGGGTGAAGGAATGAAGAGCAGGGGTGTGCCTTGCCATCCTAAGCTCCAGGGCTGTGTGTTTCTTTTGATAGACACAGTGTAGAGTAGTGGTCTCCAAACTGTGGCCTGGGGGCCGGAAGTGGCCCTTTGCTTGCCTATATCTGGCCTATATCTTCCTCCCACTGACATCAACGATGGGGCATAATTCCTGCCACTGATATTAACCACAGGGCACTATCTTTCCTATTGACACCAACAATGAGACATAATTCCTTTCACTGACACCAACAATCAGGCACTTTTCCTTCTACTGACACCAATAAAGAGGCACTATTCCTCCAACTGACACCAACGATGGAGAACCAAAGATGGGACATTGTTCACTCCTACTGGACACAGTCTGGCCCCCCTAAAGTCTGAAGGATGGTAAATGGGCTCTTTGTTTAGAAAGTTTGGAGACCCCTGGTGTAGAGAGAGACACAACGTCAGTCCCTGGATGCAAGGGTGACTCCATAGATTGTTGCAAGAGAAAAGAGCCACCCCAAAACTGGAAACCAGGACAGTGGGCATGGCACCATCTGAAACTGGAACTTAGGCAAGGTTTAACAAATAAAGAATTTGCATACTCAGTATGATGTGGTCACACCTGTGAGGCTGCGCTCTGCATTCACTGAAATAAATAGACTGTCCTAGCCAAAAAAATGCAAGGAAAGAAGTCCCCAACTCTGCATTTAAAATTGTGTCTCACAGAACGGCATGGTGCTTTGCTGATGCGTAGGGGTGCCATAAAGAATTAATGGCGCCCTATGAGCCTGCTAAATTTCACTTGCACACAGGGGACACACGTAATTGTACTCGCATTGCCAGCATGCAGTAATGTCAACCTAGCCTATGTGATTAAACCAGCTGCTTAAAAAACTGAGAGTTTAATATGAATCCTTGGTAGAGTTTTTCCAAGCTCTGTCCCCTCTTTCCTAATGACTATACTGGGGGTTATTCATATCAATGCCATTCCTGCTGCTGCTGGGGTGGTGGAGAAAACCAAGCACACAATGTGATTTCACTTGACAGACATGCCTTATATTTTACTCAATGTAGTAAAGAATATGAAATAATACAAGCCGTGTCCCTGCTGCTCCCTATTGAAGCCAAATGGGCCGGTGTAATAAAAGGCAGGTATGTATGAATGTAATCAGACTTTCCCATGAGGGGTATGGTTGGGTGACAGCAGCACAGCCCATTATTACAGTATTATTATATGTTTAACAAAGTGTATTCTATAAATAACTAGTCTTTTTTTCCTCTACAGACTTTCAGATATTACTAAGTGCATTTCTATTCATTTCAAGACAGATTTTTGATGCGGAAAAAATGACGCCCACCGATTAACATGCCTTAAACACATTTATTTGTTTTACTGGGTGGCATTGGTGAGAGCGGCTACCAAGTCCTCCTTCTGAGTCACCATCAGACAGATCATAGCTGGCTGGGTTATACCTCCTCCCTGTCTGCTTGCCACTGACATCCCATAATAGTCAGGGCTTGGCACACAGGGAATCCCATGGCACCCTGCAGGCAAGGTGACAAGGATGTGATTCTTAGCAGCAGAACACAACAGGAGACTCCTAGACTTCCACTGTGCTGTGACTGATTTGTACAGCATGTGTGCCATTACCATCACAGCTTATTGTCAGTGAATGGAGAATGTGCACTTACTAGGTGTCATCCATGACATGAATGATGATTTGATCTAGATCATAGAAGATTGTATTGTCTGCCCATCTAAAGGTGGTCATACACTGTACTATCTGATTGCACAATCTCCTTCAGATCTACCTTCAACTATGTCCTGCAAGGATGAACACTGTGCTGTTTATTCTCCCTTTTTGTTATTAAAGTGGACTTCCAGCCGATTCTGTAATTATTAAAAGTCAGCAGCTACTAAAACTTTTAATAAACACACACTTACCTGTCCCAGGGTCCAGTGGTGTACTCACCTGCTCCATTCCTTCTCTCCTCCACGGCGCCGGCATCTCAGTTGTGGGCACCAGGCTGTGACAGCTTGTGGCTTCACAGCCGGGTGCCCACTGCGCATGTACGAGTCACGCTGAGCCTCCTGATTGGTCCATCAGTCTTCTGGGACCTGTGAAAGTTCCCATAAGACTGCAAGAGGAAGGAGGGGGCTGAACGTCCGGCTCACTTTATTGTGGTGAACTGAGTCGGAAGTAGGAGTGGGTACCTGTCAAAAACAGGTATCCGCTCCCCCCCAAAAGGTGCCATTTATGACAGTGGAGGGGGGGAGGCTTCTGCTTTTGAGTGGAACTCTGCTTTAAGTGGCTTGTTTGTAAAAAAAAGTGTAGTAAATATTGAAAATAAAAAAGCATTAAAAAACATAATACAAGGACCTACCTGCCTGGGTTTGATTTACTTCAGTCTAGGTTCACACCTATGCAGGGGCGGACTGACAACTCATGGGGCCCCCGAGCAATAGGGGATCATGGGGCCCCTGTGTCCTTGCCCAAACTCAAAAAAGCCTATGAAAAAGGTACCAGGAGCATCTCATGGGGCCCCCCCACTGCCCCCGGGCCCTCGGGCAGTGCCCGAGTTTCCAAATGGTCAGTCCGCCCCTGCACCTATGTGTTTTCCGCTGCGCTTTGCAGAAACGTACAGCAGTCCATTTAACATGATTTGCTATAGAACAGGTTCACATCTCTGCGTTTTCACCTGGTGTGTTTTTTGGAAAGGGTCAGGGCCAGTTCACACTGCATCTGTTTCAGTTGCTTTTTTTCCTGCATCTAAAATTCACAGAAAGTAGGTTATATGGTTGTCAGTGTCATGGTTCACATCAGTGCTTGAAGTTCCAGTGCGTTCTGGTTGTGGAAAAAAAAAAAATGTAGAACATGCTGCATTTTTTCTGCACAGAACTGCACTGTAACGCGGTAAAACGCATCAAAAACACACTGGAATGCATTAGAACGCACCAAAACACATCAAAAATACACTGGAATGCACATGTCCCAATTTAACCCCTTGACGTCGATCGCACGCAAATATGTGGCCTCTCGGCATCTGGGCCTTGATGCAGAGTGGCCGCATATTTGCGTGCAATTAAAAGTGACATATGTGCTGAGAGCGCACGCCCTGCACGCTCTTAGCATATATGTCCGCTACTCTCGGAAAGGTCCAGATCTACCCTTTCGATTGGGACCTTTTCCGATCATGTGACCGCTGTGACGGTGAATCACGGTGGTCACATGAACCTAAAACCCCACCCTGCCTCCCGGCTTCTGAAACTCTTAAAGGGCCGGGAGGCGCTAGCACCAAGAGGTTAAAATGAAGAAAAAGAGAGGGGAAAAATAGAACTGGAATGCTTAAAAAATGCACTGGAACGCATAAAAATGCATAAAAAAACACACTCAGAATGTGGAAATAACGCACATGCAGAAACAAATCCGGAACACATCTGGACTGAGTTTATAATGTGAATATAAATGCAAAATGTTGCATTTTTTGTTCTATAGACTTCAATGGAGATGCTGAAGAAAAGCATGTAGTGTGCTTTTTGGTGCATTTTGTGTTTTATTCTGCTCAGCAACAAGCTGAAAAAATCCCCTCAAAACTCAGCAAAAACACAGCAAAAACGTGTCAAAAATGCATGTCAAAGATGCAAAATGCACCGCAAAAAGCACTGCAAAAACACATCAAACGCAAAACTGCATAGGTGTGAACCTAGCCTTATATGCAGTGTGGGAAATGCAGCAAATCCTGAGTGTTTCCCGCACAGCATTGAAATCACATCTTGTTCATGCGATCTGCCACTGGTGTCAATGTTAAATAATGACACCCCACAAAGGATCGCAAAACGCAGTGTGATTGCAAGAATTGGATCACTCATGCTTTCCAATTCCTGTGTGGCAAAAAAAAAAAGATTCCTGCACCCTTTACATGTGTGTGCAGTGCGAATTTAGCCCATAAAAATGAATGTACTGCAAAGAATCGCATGTGATTTGAACAGGAATGCAGTGTGATTCCTATCACAAGCACATGTGATTTCCCGCACCCCTATAGTGTGAATCCAGCCCTAAACTGGAAATGCAAAATCTCTTGCAGCTCACCTTGGTAGCCAATCAAGCTTCTAACTTAAGTTTGTTTAATTAAGCTTTGACGGAAAAAAAAAAACGGTTTCTGTGCAAAGCTACACCAGATTTTTCACTCTTCTCTTTTAGGCTACTTTCATACTGCTGGGTTGCAAAAATGCACAGTAAAAATGCATTTGTGTTTTTGCCACGTTTCTGGTACATTTTTCACTTGATGTGGCTCAAAAGATGCACCAAAAATGCAATAGTGGGTGCGTTTTTTTAATTTTTTTTTTCCGGTGTTTTTTGTGCATTTTTCCATTTATTTCAATGGGGAGCTGCGTTTTTAATGAATTTTTTTGCCATGTTTTTGATGCATTTTCCATTCCTTTCAAAAGAAGGGTGCGTTTTTGGTGAGCTTTTTTTATTACACAAAACATACAGCAAAAATGCAGCAAGCAGGGCTTGTGTGAAGAGTTCCAAAGGATTTAATGGTCATGCATTTTTTTCCCTGATTTTTTTTAAAGCAAAACTGGAAGTAAAACTGATCAGTTTGAAAGGAGCCTTAGTAAATCAACCCTTATTGATTGGATTGCTCAACTGTGTCCACCTATTGCACAAAGGAGATTGTACAATCAGATTGCATAGTGTATGCACAGCTTCAATGTGCTACTGCTTCTAGCTACAGCACTATAACCATCCAACCAATAATCTGATTGATATAAGTATCGAAGGATCTGCTTGGACAGCAAAGGAACCCACAGCAATGAGCTTCATGTATGTATATATATATATATATGTGGAGCGTGTGTGGTTCAGCCACCCCCTGGCTGGTAGTAGTGGAGGGATCCCTGCTCCCCGGTGGCGGGTATAGAGCCCTGTGCCCTCTGGATGACGTGTGTTCCATGACTCGGCTCCCCCGACTCTGCGCTGGTGCTCGGTGCTTCCCCGTGCGATGTGCCAGCCATCATCCCCAGGAGGAGAGGAAGGCTTCCCTCCCGTGATGTAACATCTCAGCTGGCCTCCCCCAGGTCTCTATTTCAGATGTGTCCTCGGAGGATGTTTTCACATCAACAAGTGACAGTGTTACACCTTTTAATGTCCTAAGTGCAATGTCACCATGGTGCTGAGAAATCCCAGCAATGTCCCCTGTGTCCCGGGCTGCCTTCGTGTGCTTTCCGAAAGATAAACGTGAGCTGCCTCCAGCTATTTATATATATATATATATATATATATATATATATATATATATATATATAGGGGAGAGGAGGGGGAGATGATTGAGGAAGAAGGCAGAAAGGAAGAGAGGAAGGGAAGGGAGGAGGGAGGTGGGAAGGGAACGGAAGGGAGGAAGGAAGGAAGAAAGATAGCTAAATACTAGATTTATGGAAGGAAGGAAGGGAGGGAAGGGAAGGGAAAGGGAAGGGGAAAGGAAAAGGAAAGGAAAGGAAAGGAAAGGAAAGGAAAGGAAAGGAAAGGAAAGGAAAGGAAAGGAAAGGAAAGGAAAGAAAAGGAAAAGGAAAGAAAAGAAAAGAAAGAAAGAAAGAAAGAAAGAAAGGTAAATACTAGATTTATAAATTGACAGATATAAGAGATATATAGATAATGGTGAGATAGATAGATAGATAGATAGATAGATAGATAGATAGATAGATAGATAGAGGAAAGAAAGAAAGAAAGAAAGAAAGAAAAAGAAAGAAAAGAAAGAAAGAAAAGAAAGAAAGAAAGAAAAGAAAGAAAAGAAAGAAAGAAAAAGGAAGGAAGGAAGGAAGGAAGGGGAAGGAAGGAAGGAAGATAATTATAGGTAAGATAGATAGATAGATAGATAGATAGATAGATAGATAGATAGATAGATAGATAGATATGGTATACAGGTAGATAAATATTTTTTGGTATATTTACACATATACTGTATCTTACATGATGAATGTGTGGAAGTTATATGGGAGGGATAGATGGATGGACGGATGGATGATATGCAGGTAGATAAATAGATCGGTATGTAATAACATATACTGTATCTTAGATGACGAATGAAGGAAAGTTATATATGATGGATGGATGGATGATATACAGATCGGTATGTTCTCACATATATACTGCATCTTAGATGATGAATGAAGGAACGTTATATATGAAGGATGGATGGATGGATGGGTGGGTTTGATAGACACATAGATAAACAGAGCCGTATATTATAACAAATGCTGAATGTTAGATGATGAATGTAGTTGCATATGATGGATGGATGGATGGATGGATTGATGGATAGAGGATGGATGGATGGATCATGTGACACACAGGTAGATAAATGATCGGTATGTTCCCACATATACGGTACATTAGACGATGGGTGAAGGAGGTTTAGCGATGATGCTAGAAGGAGGATTGAGCAGTCATTGGTGCAGACAGGTCACTTTCCTCATCAGATAACGTATGATCGGCTGTAGAGGAGTGGCGGTAACGTAGACCATGGCGTGTAGAGTGATACCTGCCTGTGTCTGTAATTACAGCGTGCAGGGAATGGAAGCCTGAGCGCCTTCTAACTTTCAGAGTACGTGGCCACGGTCTATGGGAGCATCCCATCCCGCACACAGGTCATTGATCCCCTGTCCCTCCTGTGCTGGGTCCTCCAGCAGTCGGCTCCCCTTCCCATCAGAGAACAGGAGGGGGGAGGACTTTTTCGAGAGTGATGATCAGAGGCTCCCAGTCCCCGTCCTCTCCATTCTACCCCGCTCTCCTAATGTCAACCCCAAAGCCACCGAGCGCCTTAAAGGAAAGAGTGGCCTCTCTACACTCGCACACACACACTCACACACTCACACACACACTCACACACACACACACGGTCCTTCGTATGACGCCGCTTTGCTAATAGAGTGACGTGCCGGGAGCAGACCACGCCTCCCTGGTCATCTCCGGCCTCCCATTGGTTGGCAGGAGGAGGGCGCTGCGCAAAAACAGCTAAGCTGGGAGCTGGGCGCTCAGACACTGGCAGCAGAGATGACAGAAGCTGGAGCAGGGACAGCTCAGTACAGGTTCCCAATATAGAGAAATAAAAAGAAAAGTCACACCACTCACCAGGATCACTATGGAATCTATGGAGTTGGGGGACTACAGGAATTAAAAGGGGGACACCTTTTCAGTCTTTTTTTTTAATTTTTTCACATTTTTGGTGTCTTTTTCTATTCCTGAATTTGAATCTTGATGTTCATCAATGATTAAAAATCTGTAGCAGAGACAGCATGTGCGGATCTGTCATGGAAAGGACTATGTGAGAACATTCAGCCGGGACTGTTGACTTGGGATTTATGGTTGGCAGAGGAGAATAAAACAAGGGGGATTGTACTGAATCCTGATGAGGGGATGTCTCACTTCATCTGCTGCACACTGACCACAGGCTGGATGTGGGAGGAATAAAACAAGTGCACTTTTCCTTTTTCTTTTTTTTTTTTTTTCTTTTTTACTTTTCCATTCATCTGTTTTTGATTTGTTTTTCTGGTCCTGGAGATGATTGTTTTCTTGTTGCTGGCGTGCATGGTGGATGGAGTGCTGTGCCAGCTCGCCTACAAGGTTCAGGAGGAGAGGGACCATGGTACTTTCGTGGGGAATATCGCTGAGGACCTGGGCTTGGACATTACAAAGCTGTCCAGCAGGCGCTTCCAGACTGCACCCAACTCCAGGAGCCCCTACCTGGAGCTGAACCTGGAGAACGGGGTGCTCTATGTCAAGGAGAAGATTGATAGGGAGCAAATCTGCAAGCAGAGCCCGAGCTGCCTGCTGCACCTGGAGGTCTTCCTGGAGAACCCTCTGGAGTTCTTCCGAGTGGAGATCGAGGTGCTGGACATCAATGACAACCCACCGGCTTTTCCCGAGAGCGACATCCAAGTGGAGATCTCGGAGAGCGCCACCCCGGGGACCCGCTTCCCTCTGGAGAGCGCCTACGACCCGGACGTGGGCAACAACTCCCTGCGCACCTACGAGATGACCACCAACAGCTTCTTCACCCTGGACGTGCAGACCCAGGGCGACGGCAACAAGTTCGCCGAGCTGGTGCTGAAGAAGCAGCTGGACCGGGAGCAGCAAGCCCTACACAGGTACGTCCTGACGGCCATGGATGGTGGCATCCCTCAGAGTACCGGCACCGCTCTGCTCACCATCAAAGTCCTGGACTCCAACGACAACGTGCCGGTCTTCGATCAGTCCATCTACACCGTGCCCCTGCCCGAGAACTCCCCCCCGGGCACCTTGGTCATCCAACTCAATGCCACCGACCTGGACGAAGGTCAGAACGGGGAGGTGGTCTACTCCTTCAGCAGCCACAACAGCCCGAGGGTGAGGGAGATCTTCAGCATTGACCCCAGGACGGGTCGGATGGAGATCACGGGCGAGCTGGACTACGAGGAGAGCAGCATGTACCAGGTGTACGTCCAAGCCAAGGACCTGGGGCCGAACGCCGTGCCCGCTCACTGCAAGGTGCTGGTCAAGGTGCTGGACCTCAACGACAACCCACCCGAGATCAGCTTCAGCACGGTGAAGGAGGCGGTCAGCGAGGGGGCCCCTCCCGGCACGGTGGTGGCCCTCTTCAGCGTGACGGACAAGGACTCGGAGGAGAACGGGCAGATCCACTGTGAGATCCTGGGGGACGTGCCGTTCAGGCTCAAGCTGTCCTATAAGAACTATTACACCATTGTCACCGATGGCACCTTGGACCGGGAGCTGGTGTCTGCCTACACGGTGACGGTGCTGGCCAGGGACAAGGGCTCTCCACCGCTCAGCTCCACCAAGTCCATCCAGGTCCAGGTGGCCGATGTCAATGACAATGCCCCGCGCTTCACCCAGGCGGTCTACAACGTCTATGTCACCGAGAACAACGTCCCGGGGGCTTACATCTCAGCGGTCAGCGCCACCGACAAGGATGAAGAGGACAATGCCGACATCTCCTACTACATCCTGGAGTGTGACATCCAAGGCATGTCCGTCTTCACCTATGTGTCCATCAACTCGGAGAACGGCTACCTCTATGCCCTGCGCACCTTTGACTACGAGCAGCTGAAGGACTTCAGCTTCATGGTGGAGGCAAGAGACGGGGGAAGTCCTCCTCTGGCCAGCAATGCCACCGTCAACATAGTCATAGTAGACCAGAACGACAATGCTCCTTCCATAGTGTCCCCCCAAGGTCGCAATGGCACTGCCAAGGAGCTCCTGCCCAGAACCGCCGAGCCCGGCTACCTGTTCACCCGTGTGGTGGCTGTAGACTCCGATGAAGGGGAAAATGCCCGGCTGACCTACAGCATCCTCAGGGGCAATGACATGAGTCTGTTCCGCATGGACTGGAGGACCGGGGAGCTAAAGACCGCTCGGAAGATCACCAGCAAGAGGGATCCCCACAGACCCTTCGAGCTGGTGGTGGAGGTTCGGGACCATGGACAGCCGCCGCTCTCCTCCACCGCCCTCATTCAGGTCCAGATAGTGGACAGCTCCGTAGAGAGACAAGGTGGGGAGCAAAGGCCCAGCAGCCGCTTCAATGACACAGCCTTAGACCTCACCCTCATCCTCATCATCGCCCTGGGCTCAGTCTCCTTCATCTTCCTCCTGGCCATGATAGTGTTGGCCATCAGGTGTCAGAAGGAGAAGAAACTCAACATCTACAGCTGCCTGGCCAGTGACTGTTGTATGTGCTGCTGCTCTTGCTGTAGCAGGCAAGCCAGGGCTCGCAAGAAAAAGCTCAGCAAGTCAGACATCATGCTGGTGCAGAGCTCCAACGTGCCCAGCGCTACCCAAGTGCCAGTGGAGGAGTCTGGCAGCTTCGGCTCTCACCATCATAACCAGAACTACTGCTACCAGGTCTGCCTGACCCCAGAGTCTGCCAAAACCGACCTCATGTTCCTCAAGCCCTGCAGTCCTTCCAGGAGCACAGACACCGAGCACAACCCCTGCGGGGCTATAGTCACAGGCTATGCTGACCAACAGCCTGATATCATCTCTAATGGCAGCATCCTGTCCAGTGAGGTAAGCCACTTACTTTCCTATTTATGTCACGTCCATTTCTTCTGCACCCATTGCTTTCCCTCTCTTCTTAATAGGTTAACGCCTTATAGAACTTTTCCTCTTTGTAACCAGATGTTACTGAGCCTTGGTTATCTGCAAATCCCCTTTACCAAGATCAAATCCCTGACATCTCTGTCTAGAGTCCCATCATCTGCTTTCTTAGAAATCCACCCAAATCCCCTTGTTTTATGGCTTGTCCCTGTCATACTTTGCCTTTTTAGATGTTGTTGATTCATTCTAGAAACCCCTGCATAGTCCATCTTAAATCTTTGCAGCCTTTACTGCTGCTAGAATTGCCCATTTGATGATCATAATAATATATTAGCAGGAACTGTGACTTGGTATGGCTGGAATGTGGCTGGCTGTGCTGTATGATTTCTTGTTCCATCAGGATCTGCCATTAGAATTCCCTTAGAAAACTGTTGCAGGCGCAGCTCACACTGCTTGAATGTGAATGAGCCCAGCCTGGCATTGAGAAATTAGAGAGCTATCTGTCTGCGCAGGGACACCTTAAACTGATCACCATTTGTGGATTCATCTGTTGATTGATTTATTGGAAATCTTTTCCTTGCTGCTCATAAGTAATCTCTGTAAAATCCTGTGCGAATATTTATGCAGCAGATCACTGATATATGCTGATATTAATCTGTGGCACATGAACAGTGTATGAGCATCATAAAATATAAGAAAAAGTCAAAGCGTTTATTTAATGATTCCGTCATATGTCGGAGATGTGAATTGTTATATTCATTCTATTGATATAAATATATTCATAGATGAGTTATTTTGATTCTGTAAGCCCTTAGCATTGATGCTATATATGGAAACCTTTCATCTCCTGCAATCATTGATATTGGTACATGGAGACTTGTACAGTATGTCTGCTGTAATCCCCACCCAGTTTGTGAGCACAGTAATAAGTGCATGTGTCTATCATGGGCTCAAGAAATGCCATTACTTCTGGTTATTCCAGAAGGGGAGGGAAAAGTAGAAGGGGGGGGGGGGGGGGGGACGTTAGGTGATGCGGCTGCCCTTTTATGTTTGTATATATTCTGCCATTGAACCCAGCTCACTGAATAAAGAAGCACTTTCAATATTTTATATGCTCCAACTGCTGGGGGCCTAGACATCTCTGTATACTCTTTAATCAATCATCCAACCCAGTAGCTCCGAGCTGTTTCATATTCCATATTGCGGTGACATTTAGAGTCCAATTGTGTCTCATTTATTTTTTAGAATAAACATCAACGCACTGAACTCAGTTATCTAGTTGACAGACCACGACGGGTAAACAGGTATGGAATATACTTGGGCGTGTCATTTTTTTTTTTTTTTTTCATTTGTGTTATTTCTGCACAGTGGACATTAGTGTGGCTAGTAACGTGGTATTAATCATTTTGTCAATAAAAATAAATTTCCATTTATATAAGGTCATCCCCAGAACACCAAGGTTAATGAGTCCTAGATTCAAGGATAAATATTTCAGTGCTGCCCCAAAGAACTCCTGCAGATTCCTGAGTTGGTGGCGTGGAGGTTTAGAAGTGACAGAGAATAACAGACAAGCTGTGTGAAATATTACACTTCCTCTGCTGTTTTGCCCTCACCTGCCTTGCTGTTTTGTGATATATCCTGTCTGTGTCATCCTGTTGAGGGGGAAAAGTAACACTTGTATTGCTAGCATACTGTAGATCTAAACAGCTATTCAGTGCAGCTCCCAAAATGTCCATAGGATGGCAGAAGAATATCTGATTTGCTCATTCTTCTCAATGCTGTGCTGTTTGTGTTTGCAGTTCTGCATTCCAGGAAGCAGACATAGTAAGCTCTAAGGATAGTGGGCACGGAGACAGTGAACAAGGAGACAGTGATCATGACGCCACTAATCGAGGTCAATCCTCTGGTAAGTCTGATGAGAGTACAAATCAAAATTGGTCCTTTATCCCCTCCATTGCAAGACTTACACACATCAAGTGTCATAAATACATATGGTATACCAGTCAAAGTTTTCTATACATAACAAAAAAAAAACACAATTTCAGTAAAAACACTGGATATTAAAACTGTAACCCAGGATGTTTTGGCTTTAACTTGAGAAACAGGTATATGGATTTGTGTTGGTTTCCATGAGCAATGGCATTACATCTTTTTTTTTTCTGGGTTATAACAAATCAGCTTTAATATATAAAAATAAGCACACACAAATAAGTGATTCCTGAATTTGATGCATTAATGCTAATGCTAATACTATAAGATTGATTTGGCATTATCCACATTATCCAGCTAATCTTGGATTAGCCAGTCATTCTTTAACAGAGTCATATGCAGAGCTGTCACAGTATATTATGAAGAATTTCACCTGCTCCATGTCCTAATTATTTTGTTTTTGATAAGTCTAGGTGGCTACCTATCCATATCTATATATCAATCTGTATGTGTATCTATAGATAGGTAGATAGATAGATAGATAGATAGATAGATAGATAGATAGATAGATATCAGCTGTATGCACATTTGACACTATATTTAGCTAGGGCAATGTCAAATAATTAGTGGCTGTCATTTCAACAATAGCGTAACAGGTTTGCTTGTCTTGTGTGCACTCTCGATATGGTGCTTTTGAGGATTATGTCTCCGAATCCTTCTCTCCCATGATCCTGAATGTGTCTGATAATTGCAGCCAGTGTCTATAGAAATGCACTCTCCAGCTGTCCCCTTTCTCGCCTCCCCTTTCCACCCAGTGCAGTGTTATCCACACTATTACCCCTGGCTAGTAGCAGACACCAGGCTGAGTTTATGAAGCAGACGTTGCTGGAGATATGAGAGCCTGTGTCTTGGCCTTTGCCTTGTGTGCAGTTTGCTGCATTGTATGTGAGCTCCAATGATGGGAAATCCTTTGAATAGAAAAGGCTACACTCCAGGCCCCCTTCTATTTTTACAAGTCATTAATATGCAGGCCTAATGAGAGTTCAGGAGAGCCAAGAATCCCTGGAGGTCGCTGCTCCTTGTGGGACTTCATGCTAAAGTGAACAGAGCGTCTATTTAGTGTCTGGGAAACTGCACACTAACTAAGGCTTGCCAGAAGTTTACATTCAGCACAGAGAATCCTTTATTTGGGCCCTATATGTGGGGCTCTGATTTATTGTTGTCTTGACTTAAAGAGATCTGTCTCGACCTATTTTATTATAAAGCCGGTTATTAATGTAAGAGCTTGAATAGGATTTAGCAGCAGACAGTAGTCGGACTTTGTTACGTTTTTTCTCTCAGGTTTTCAAAGCTGGTAACCCAGCGAAGCTTAAAAGGGGTTAGTTTACCAGAATAATAGTTTGTAATTAAGGAGCGTACAATATTTAATTGGCATCTGTTATGCAGATCAACAATACACAGAAAATATATGCAGCCGACTAATTAAAAAATGTGCAATTAAACGTAAGCAGGCCTGGCTCCCAGATGCCTTAATAGGCAACAAGTCATTATAAGGGTAGTACATGGATAGAGATATTAAAATAACTTAAAATATAAGAAAATGTAATCAGCAGATTAGTGTATGCAAATAGAAACTGCAGACTCATCAGAAGAGAAATGAAGTGGAAGAAGACACTAGGGAGGATGTTAACACCCCATTGAAGCTGAATATAGGTGTTATTTATTCATGTTAAAACTCCCAGAAGGCAAAACCAATAAACAGCAGAATAACCATTAACAGCTTCTGAACAGACACTTTAGATGTATGCTGTGTTTTCACTCACCTGTAGACAGTGAGTATTTATTTGAATCATACCCAGACAAAAGAACGACACAAGTCTTGTAAATAGAGTTTTTATGATACAAAATAAACCACGCGTGTTTTTATGTTATTAGTAGAATTTTTATGGTATTGTTATTACTACGACCAGTATTAGGTATTTTGTTCTTTGCAAGTTTTGATAAGTTATACCCTGATATTGTCTGGTGCTTCTGATATGTAGTTAAGGAAAGGAGAAGAAAGAAAAGAAAAGAGAAAAGAAAAAGAAAAAAATATATATAAAGGAAAGATGTTACAGAGACAGAAAAGCCAAACTGAGGTCAGCGTATACATACTGAGATAAAGAAAGGAAACAAAGATAAAAGGTGCATGTTGCCTGCTCTTTGTTGCTTTTAGTTAAAAAGAAAAAGTTAAAAGGTAAAATGCAGCCAAATGGTGAATAATCAGCCAAAGCATCGCCTGTGGTCAGTCATTTGTTGCTTCTTTTACTATTGTTTATATAAGCAAGTGATAACCTTTAGGCAACCACTAATGAGCTTTGCATACGTCTTCCCTTTCTGCTGTTTCCCTTACTGGAACATAAGTGGTTAATGCATAACCTGTGAAGCATTTGAAGATCAGTAAATGTATAATACCTAACATATTTATTTCCTTGAGTAAGCAGAGAGAGCCACAGGTGCTTTGCCTCGGCTCCCTTACAGGCTCTTCTAGGAAGTACCAGTAACATGGTATACCAGTTGTGTTAAGTGGGTACAAGTGATATTAGCCTCACTGCTCTTCTGTTTTATGACATGCAGCCAGCTATATCCCCAGCTGTGGTTGACTCTGGCATACTATTGTAAAATCTATGACTTCTAGCTTCTAGAGAAGCAGTGATGTTTGCTCTAACTTAGCATATATATCTATAGAGAAATATGGCACCTATATTGTCATTGATCTCAGATAATTTGCTCATCTTGGCAATTTTATGGTCCATTTAGTGAGTGGACATTAATTTATACCTTGTCTATGGTAGTCTCTCAATTTCTCTGGTCAGTGGTCTAGAGCTCTGGTTTAATATGTTCAACATTTCAGTGGCTTATTGAGCATCATGGTGTGTGATTTTTAAATCAGACATGCTTTCAGTCCCACACGGTGTATGGGAATCTACAATTCAGGAATGTTGAGTATGACTAGAGTTATCTTCCTGTGATAGGAGCGAATAGAGTTTCAGTTTAAATACCTTCACCATAATGAAATGATTGAGTTAGACAACTCATTTGGAAATAATTTAGGCTGAGCTTAGCAGCTTGATCGGCCCTGCTTCGCCACGCAGGCTCATGCAAGTGATTTCCATAATGTGGTATCAGAGTTTATGAATTGCAAGGCCATAAAGCCATAATATCAATCATTTATCAATGAGGAAACCAAAACACATTTGATGGCAATCACTAACAGACATGGTTAGTTATCTGTAGGCAGTAAAGTGAATTGCACTGAGGGAAAGATAATTTGGGGGAATTAATTATAAAATAGCAGTTGCTAAGCTACTCCGCTGACTTCATATGATTATTTAATTCCCTTTTTAACTCCGTAGTCCACATAAGTGTGTGATATAAATTAAAGACAAATAAATGACAATGAACTCATTACTGATTGGTAATTGTTAGTTCTCTTATTAATGAGCTTAGTAAAATGTCAGCACCCAATTTACTTCACACAACTGTGACTTATATCAGTATACTAGCTGTATCTGGCACTATAAGATTGGTTGAGATTTAAATGACATAGCCTCATTCATCTTATGTCTATAAGGCCATGGTCTGACCCTTTGACTACAGGTCATGACCCCTTGGCATCGCATCAGTGTTGGCATCTGTCCCTGAAGTTGACTGCACAGCAGTGAAACAATTCGATGAAATAGCATTAGATATTTCAGTTTTTTATATCATTATAAATTATTGGCATAATATGCGGGCTAATAGTCTTATTAATTTTTACAGCAGATAACACTAATGTGTTGCTACCCATAGCAATCGATTACAAATCGCCTTTTACTAAATTAGTTGGGTTTGTTGTGACTAGCTGCTTGTGCATTATGCCATCACTATTCTTTGGGCCAAGTTATTAAATGAATTAAATGAAGCCTTTTAAGTAGCTGGATTCTAGATTAGGATCTAGACAGCAGCCACCCGATGTATAGCGGATGCATCTCTCAGTCTGTTCGCAAGCCATTTTTCCCACCCTCTCCCTACCAGCAGATTCAAGCCCTTTGCCCTTCTCTCAGGGAGCGGGAACAATGTCTCATGAATAGATGTCACTGGTTGCATACATTTCTATTCTGCAGACATTGATTTAAAATCTGTAATTTATTTTAAAGACCTTGTTTCCTTTGCTGTTAAACTAATAAAACCTGACAGCTGGTAATCATAAACTATCTATCTATCTATCTATCTATCTATCTATCTATCTATCTATCTATCTATCCATCCAATATGTATCTATTCTTTCTTTTTTTTTTTTTTCTTTTTTTCTTTCTTTTTTTTCTTTCTTTCTTTCTTTCTTTCTTTCTTTCTTTCTTTTTTCTTTCTTTCTTTCTTTCTTTCTTTCTTTCTTTCTTTTTTTTTCCTTCCTTCCTTCCTTCCTTCCTTCCTTCCTTCCTTCCTTCCTTCCTTCCTTCCTTCTTTCTTTCTTTCTATAATGCTTATATATCCTAATTATCTAGAGTACATATTGTACCTCTTTGCATCTCTCAGATGTGCCTGTCTAGTTATCCCTTTTTTTTTTATTGTAACCCTCTGCTCCTCATAATTCATACTGATATTTCTTTCAAGCCCATGTCTAAATTGTCAAAAAACTGTTAATCGTGAAGCACAGTCAATGATCATTTATAAGAAAGGATTAGATGGGGAAAAAAACCTCTCCAATTATTTTATACCTTCTCTTCTTATTATTTTTATTTGCACCACAAAGTATAAAAGATTGAACTTGTCGGTTTCTGTATAAAATGCTTTATGTTCCTTGTATGCTCCCCCCTCTCCCCACTCCTCTCCGATTCTTTAATCCCAGCTGCAGTTCACGTCTGCATTCTTCAACAGCTCACTGATCAGTAATTTATTTCCAGACTTCTGAATACTTATTATCAATGGAAGGTTAGAATTCAAGGCAGACTTACTATGTGCTACATTGCTTAATTTAAAATAAAAGTCATTACAAAGTGAGATTAATCTGTAATAAAAGCTCTTCCATTTGCTGCCCTTTACCACTTGTTGATGATTCTGCTCTTTTTTTTTTATTTTTACATAGTGCATTTATGGCACACGGATGACACAGGACAGTTAACATTATGAATCTAATTAGAAAAAGGAGCACTGGTGGAATACTAAGTAGGTATCATGAGCAAACAGCTAGAGAGGCATTACTTAATGCACAACTACCACCAAGGGAGAATTTTTTTTTGTTTCAAGAAGCTAAAAAAATTAATTAATGGACCGCAAAAAGCAAAAGTCATATGATGTTAACCTGCTACTTATAACATGCTCAGCTTCACATTTAAAAGTACACAAAACTATATTATTTTTGACAACAGTGTTTCATGGGATTCCTGGACAGAAAGGAACTGTGAATTGAAATGTATTATTCCTCATGCAACCCTCATAAATATGAAAACTTTGTTGACATAAGGAAGCTTGCAGTTTGCGTTAGAATAAACCAAACTATTTGCTGCATGATAAAATAGATTAATAATAGTGATAAAAAGCAGCAAGTTAATGCCTAATAAATTGAAAATCTAAATACAGATTAAAAAATAAGAAATAAAGGTCTTTCAATCTATTTTCGCTTTTCCTATTTGGAACAAACAAAGCAATGTTTGTTTGTGGTTCCCCTACCTTGTACTGTGCCTTGTATAATATTTATGTAAAGCTCTGTATACACAGTTGGCATGGGAAGGCGCATTAGCATACATATGGTATTGTGTACACAAGCATTACTGCACAGTCCCCGATTTATAAACAACCCCACAGTGCATGTCTTTGTGCAAATCAATCAGCAGCCATAAGCCTCAGCACTCCTAACATCTCATCACTGTGCTTTCAGCTAGCAAATGTTTGAAGCCAGTGACAAATTGAGGTTAGATATGTGAAAAACAAACTCCTGGGTGCATTGTCTGTGTTTTCCTCCAGATACATAGTATATTGCATCAGTATACGCAAACATCATTAGGAAGATAGGACAAATGAGTATGTATCTGCACCACAGTGGAATAATGCACTGTCTGTAATCTTTAATAGACACATTGTTCAAATTATATAAGGCAGAATGAAATCAATCATTCAGAATGCAGCTTGTCGCTTAAAATGTCTTAATAGGTTTAAAGGACATGGGGGAGAACAGCTGCCAGGAGTTGCTAAGCACAAGTGTTTTCAGGAAGAGATCTAGAGATCTGTCAATAGTATCAGCATCGACATCTCACCTTACACGAACACTGAATTTAGCTAATCATGGTCATTTGCAACAGGAACTCGCTCAATCACAATAACAGAAGATGTGCTGCAAATGTTAGGTGTATGGAAAACAAAGCAATATATGAACCCTTCACTAGGAAAGTCCGATGTAGAGGTAGGTGGCTCCTACAATTTTATCACTTTGGTCAGTGTCAATTAAAATCTGAAAAGTAAGAAAGAATCCCACACATGCATTCTTCACAAATATTATTATTATTATAGAGGATTTATATTGCGCCAACAGTTTGCTCAGCGCTTTACAATATAACGGGAGACAATACAGCAACAATACAGTTCAATACAATCTAGGAGATACATAATAAAAAAAAGGGGAGAGTGAAGGACAGATTACATACATACATACATACATACATAAAATGTGTATATGGGTATCTTGATATAAATAAGAAGAGAAAGAAAAAATGGAAAAATATTAAAGGTCCATGCACACTGGCTTAAAAAATGCTGCTTCTAGAGAAGGTTAGCATTTTGCCTGTAGAAGAAACTAAAATTTTCCTATGTGTACATGCACATTAGTATGTTTAGAGGCATATTTTAAGCTCAGTGTTTAGAGGCAGAAAAAAAAGCTTAACTCTCCTAAAAATGCACAAAAATGCTCTATATAAATGTTTTTTTCTGGAGAGATGGTAGTAAGGAGATGGTAAAGAGAGAAGGTAGTAAAACGATTGTAAGTAAGGTAGTTAGGAGAAAAAAAGTAAGACTAAGGTAGAAAGAAGAGAGGAATGAAAAGGAAGGATAGAAAGAAAGAAAGAAAGAAGAGAGAGAGAAAGAAAGAAAGAAAGAAAGAAAAAGAAAGAAAGAAAAGAAAGAAAGAAAGAAAGAAAGAAAAAAAGAAAGAAAGAAAGAAAGAAAGAAAAGAATGTAGTAAAAAGATTGTAAGTAAGGTAGTAAGAAGAAAAAAAAAGTAAGGCTAAGGTAGTAAGAAGAGAGGAAAGAAAGAAAGTAAGAAAGAACGAAAGAAAAGAATGTAAGTAAGTAAGTAAAGTAGTAAGGAGAGGAGGTAGCAAAAAGATTGTAAGTAAGGTAGTAAAGAGAAAAAATGTAAGGCTAAGGTAGTAAGAAGAGAGGAATGAAAAAAAAGAAAGTAAGAAAGAAAGAAAAGAAGGTAGTAAGTAAAGTAGCAAGGAGAGGAGCTAGTAAAAAATTGTAAGTAAGGTAGTAAAGAGAAAAAAAAAAAAGTAAGGCTAAGGTAGTAAGAAGAGAGAAATGAAAAAGAAAGAAGGAAAGAAAGAAAGAAAAAAAGAAAGAAAGAAAGAAAGAAAGAAAAAGAAAGAAAGAAAGAAAGAAAAAGAAAGAAAGAAAGAAAGAAAAGAAGGTAGTAAGTAAAGTAGCAAGGAGAGGAGGTAGTAAAAAATTGTAAGTAAGGTAGTAAGAAGAGAGGAATGAAAAAGAAGGAAAGAAATAAAGAAAAAAGAAAGAGGGAAAGAAAAAAAGAAAAGAAGGTAGTAAAAAAGATTGTAAGTAACGTAGTAAGGTGAAAAAAAGTAAGGCTAAGGTAGCAAGAAGAGAGGAATGGAAAAGAGAGAAAGAAAAAAAGAAAGAAATCTGCTTAAATATATGCTAGTTGCAGTTATAAAAAGATGCTGTCAAATGAGACTAAATTGCAAATGAGTGGTTAAACAGCTGCCTGTGGTCATTTCAGTCATTTTGCTATTCTTTATATAATTTAGATGAAAAAAAAATCAAAATGAGTCTTCTTCACATATTTGCATTTTCACACAGACATGCTGTATAGACTATTCCGCAGACATCCTATCCTTGGCATTTTACACATTGTTCTCCCCATATGGACACACCAGACGTCTGCTGTAAATATGAATACATCAGCTTTTAGCTTTGACCTCTTTGGTGCGCTGAGGCTCCGGCCCGGCGAGAACACTTTCAAGAGAGCGTGACTCTCTACTATCTCTACTGAATTATGGCATCCCATGACACATTGTTCAAGACAGCAGTGTAGAATGAGCTAATTATGATTTTCAAAGTCCATGTTATATAACAATACGCATCATGCAATGAGACATATGCAGAATGCGACAAATGTACCTTGAATACAGCAGATGCAATAGCTAATAGCTAATTTTCTCACTCAAACCATAAAAAATATCATCAAAGTAAAGATTATGGGCAATCACATAATGAAAACTCTTTATTCATGTCTATCAATACTCTAGTTGTTGAGTATACGTGTTAAACACTCAGAAATTGCCATTCATTAATTGATTTTCACTGTCACCTTTCTGGAGGTCTAAAGATTGAGTTTTCATCATGTTGTATTTATTCTAGACTTAACCAAGACCTTAAAATGAAAATGCATTTTGGCACACTGTATTCTTGCTTTTATTTACAATTAATTAAGACACTGCTGCACTGGGCAAAAATTAGCATTATCTGATTTGGTGACATACAGTGGAAAATCAGTTAATTAAAGGTTACTACACAGCATTCATGGAGCTGATGTTAAGTAGAAAGCCAGTGCTCTTGGAATTCCCAAGTTATCCAATTGTACATTTTCCCTACCAGCACTTTGTAATCCATTGCAAAGCCATGACATCCAATGGGATTTAAAAAAAGTAAAGCAATTATTTATAAAAATTCACAATGTGCACATTTGTTTCCCACTTTCAACTTAAGGACACTATGCAAATATATTACTGGAGTTGGAAAATTTGGTTCAATTGCTTTTCTAAGCACAATATAATTGAAAACCTGTTTCTGATGCCTACTAATACCATGTTTTGTAACTATTACAGGTGCTGACTTGTTCTCCAACTGCACAGAAGAGTGCAAAGCTCTGGGCCACTCGGACCGCTGCTGGATGCCTTCTTTTGTACCTTCCGGTGATGGCCGCCAGGCGGCAGATTACCGCAGTAACCTTCATGTGCCCGGCATGGACTCAGTTCCGGACACTGAAGTGTTTGAAGCACCTGAGGTGCCTCCAGGAGGGGAGAGATCTTTTTCCACATTTGGCAAAGAGAAGGCATTACAAGGGCTGTCGGGAGTGGGCAATGGGATGGAGGAGGTAGTACGCAGGAGAGGAAGGAGCTGGATGGCCTACTCTCTGGCACCAGAGCGCCTTACAAGCCACCATATCTGAGTAAGTACTTTGCATGTCATCTCAAAAAAAGATATCTATGCACATTGTATGAAAGAAACATGCTTGCATAAATTGTATTCATCAAATGGTACTTATAGGCAATGTCAGATAATAATCAAACTCCAAATTATCTTTTTACCTTAGTCATTTAAATTCTCTTTTAGCACTGAGAGGAGACAACAATGATCTGTACCTAGAAAAGTTTCACAATGGAATGTAGTCAGTGCTCAAAAGCCAATGTAATTATGCCTCTTTTTTTTCCAAGAGTTGAATTTCATGAATGTCATATCTATATATGAATATCAAATATCCAAGTGATACCAGAAATGTCAACATAAAATCTGTGGAAGAATGTGTACAGATACAAAGTTAATCAACTTAGAATAGGTTTACCTTTCCATTGTACACCATTGTTAAGGAATAGACCAACCTATTGTATTTCTAAACAGGTACTCCTGGATAGTCTAGTTTCTTAAATACCTTTATTAAAAGAGCACCTTAAATATTGTCTTACTGCATAGACTTACCTCTGCTGGAAGCCTAAAATGAAGTGCATTGATTTGATTTGATACAAATATGAGATATATCATTTGGAGAATACAATATCTGAGGAAATAAATCAAGTTTTAATAGATTGAGGTTGTGGTAGGCCACACAATCAGGTTAGCAAAGGTTTTCTAATTAAAGGCAGTCTAGCAAACTTTGCACTGTATTGGCCTATAGGCACTAGTTATAACAAAGAGAAGATAACTATCTTTAATAGTCTTAAAGAATTGGTAAACCCTCACTTTGTAAAACCACTTATTCCATTTAAAATAGAAAGGAAAGGCAACACATTTATGTATAGATACCAAAAACATGGTAAATACTCTTTTTTTTACCTTCTCTTTTAAAAAAGATCACATACCCTCTATTCTTCACTGCATAACAGTTAGGGGAGGAGAAACAGCAGCACATTGGTCTTCCCAGTGAGTGGTTGTGCAGAAGGGGCATGTCAGTACACGTCTGATCATTGGAGGAGAGCAGCTTGAGTTCCAGCACAGCTAAAAAAACTGACCATGGTTTGCTCTCCTGCCTAGTGTGATCAGTTTTTAAAAGGAAAGCACTGGCAGGAACAATAGGAATTTCACACAAAGGAAGCAATATAAACAATATTTTTTCATACATATTATAGAAGGCATATATCAGGAATATGACATGTTGGGTTTACATATTCTTTAACATAATTCTTATTGTGATAGGAACAGTGTTTTGTTAATCTGGTACAACATTATTTATGCCGGCCATAGACTGTTTCAAAATTGGCCAATTTTTCATCTGAAAGATTAATCGGCCAATTTTCACACTGTTGGTGGGTTACTTCGTCGGCCAGTTTTCATGTTTTTTCCACTTTTGGATTATCGGTCATGTTGTAAAATTCGTGGAAAACTACCGATTTTCGCATCAATGATGGTCAAATCGTACGATCGTTTTTACGAAAAAAATATACACATGAGCCGTGACCTGGAAAGAACAGAAGTTTTGCCTGTTATATGGGGTGAAGTTTATGACTTGGTCGGCCGATTTTCATAATAATTGGTGGTTACGTCGGTTTAACGAGCGACTGATGTTTTGTTTATTGGACGAAAACACAGTCGGTTTTTGAGCCTTCTATGGCCTGCATTATAGTTGATCTAGCCAATTAACAGTCCCAATTCATTCATTGCACTGCAAGAGAGCTGTACCAAAGATGGGGACCAGGAGAGTACATGCCACAAGTACTCCTTTGTGGCACAGTAAGCGATAAAGGAATTCTATTTTATTGTTACATACCTGCTTCGTCCATGTTTCTCACTGAATCATTTCACTAGTGACTAGCTCAGCAGTGCCTTTATCAGCATGACCACTTGCAAAATGATTCCCTGTGTATTTTAAAGGAAGGGGATATGGTAAAATAAAAACACATCTTGGCAATTAACTGTTGTGCCTCCATCATGATGGCAGTATGCATTTTCACCCCCTTTCTAGGTGGAAACTGACTAGGATTTTAAAATTTAAAGTAATTTGAAAGAGTGTAAGCCACAGGTATGTTTACATGTGTAAAAGACTGATAGCATGATAATAAAAGTAGTTGAAGGTAACAATAAAGTAAGTTGCTTTTGAACTAAAAATACACAACCATTCTGTATGCTGAAAATTGTAACCTGTTATTAACTATCTGAAAGCAACCCTTTTCAGTGTTAAAAGGATTGCACTTCATTTACACTAATTGATGAATGTGTAAATGAAGTACAGGCTTCTTCACGTTGCTGCACATATGTGTTATTATTTCACAAGCCCCCAGGACCCCAGAAACCTAGGATGCTTTGGTATGCAAATTTAACCTATCTTGGGAAAAAAGCCAAAGGCTGGCCATCAACTCCCCATTGGGTTTCCAGTTAAAGGGCAGCCTCAGTGTCCAACAAAAACTTGTGGGAGATCAGGGGGTCCTAGTCCAGCTCTTATCTTTAGACAAGTAAAGCCGGCCGTAGACAGATCAAAATGCTAGTTCAGAAGGAACTGGCCGAATCTTGATCCATCTATGGGCAGGCTGGTTGTACTGAAGTCGATCTATCGATTGACTTTAGTACAACCAGCATGTTGTTGTTTTTTTTTTTTTTCGTAGGATCACTGTCGCTGGTTACAGCCAGCAGCAGTGATCATTGAATTCTGATGGAGAGAATTGCCCCAGTAAGTGTTGAAATCAATTGATTTGCTTTCCTTCACCTTGAGGTTGAAGAAAAGAAAATTGCATAATTTTTGCCAAGCCTGAGTCAAGGTTTGTATATCAAAGTGACCTGGATTTTGGGGGTTGCTTATATTTTGCACTTTATTTGCTTTGTAATTTAGTGATCCTTTTAGAAAGAAAAGAGTTGCTTATATCTAAAACCATCCTTTTGTGATAAAGCCACTGCAATCAAAATTGCTGTGTGCCCGTTATAAACATATTGAAGAGTTCGTTGTAGCACTTCAGAAGGAATTATCTCATCTTGCATTTACATTGTTACAAATTTAGCACCTTTGAAATAAGTACCGTAGCTCCCCACTGTAAAGTCTTCTTTGTTTCCTTAAGTTACTACTAAGAAACATCAACCTTTAACTCTGCTAATTTATTTTCTGACGCGGTTTTCACTTGATGTTTTGTGCAGGCAGTTCTCAGTGGTACCAGAAAAGTGAGGCACCTTCTACAAAATCTCAGAAATGTTTCCTTTTTAGTTCATCTGTGCTGTAATATTTGTGAAATAAGGAGGCTATGCACACAAATCTGTTTGTATATTTAGTATGAATCACTTTTGTACAAATTATTTTTTTATTAAGAGTATTAAATTATTTATTCCATTTATTCAATAATAATAATAAAGAGAGAGAGATTGAGAAAAATGCATACCAGACTCTTATATATATCTACAAAATCACTAACATTTCTAATGCAATTATAAAAATGATTGCAGCTTATAACATTAGTATACATTTACCATGCTTTTTGTGTTTCCTACTGTATTATGTTATCAAAATTCTTTTAACTATACTTCTGCATTATAAAAAGTTGGGAATAAAGCAATAAAGCAATTGCAATAAAGCAATAAAATAAATAAATAACCTGTTGTTCAGGTAGAAAGCCCAGGGACCAAGAGGTGCTTGCACATACCTGCAGCAGTCTCCAAGTTCCTGCTCATAAGCCTAATGCCCCATTCACACACTTGCGTGTTCTGGGAATGAATGCAGAAATGAACATTATTATCATTATTATTATTATACAGTATTTATATAGCACCAACGGTTTGCTCAGTGCTGTACATTATAATGGGAGACAGTACACGAGACCAGGGGCGGACTGACAACTCATGGGGCCCCCGGCAATAGGGGATCATGGGGCCCCCGTGTCCTTGCCCAAACTCAAAAAAAGCCTATGAAAAAGGTACCAGGGGCATCTCATGGGCCCCCTACTGACCCCGGGCCCTCGGGCAGTGCCCGAGTTTCCAAATGGTCAGTCCGCCCCTGCACGAGACAGTACAGTAACAATACAATACAATACACGAGGGGTTCGAGGGCCCTTCTCCTTGGAGCTTACAATCTAGGGCATGTTTGCATGTGTTCCCGTTAAGGTGCCAAAATGCACATTTCACTTATGGTGCAAATATTATTGCTTAATGACACCCCAGAAACAGCTAGCTGACACGTATTTTGTCAAGAAACAGAATGCTCCAAAACATGCATTACAAAGATGCATGAGGCTCACTGTCAAAAAAAAAAGGTACAGGAGCTACTTTTGCATAAGCACGTTGTATGGGTGTGAATGGGGCCTAAAGGTTAGGCTATTCCTACAGACAAATCTCTGATACTTTTTGGTAGTGTTTAGGCCTGCACACCCCTTCCTACCTCATGCCCCTAATCATAGTGATCGGCCAATATTAATTAATATTTCCTGTAGGGCTTTTTTTCCACTGGGACTCAAAGCACTTCATCTGCTGTTTGGAATAAATGGTGAGGAGGCCATCTTGGGCACAGTAGGGACAGTTTATAGACAAGAGCCAGGTAGCCTACCAGTATGTCTTTGGAGTGTGGCAGGAACCTGGGTTACCCGAAGGAAACCCACACAAGCATAGGGCAAGCATGCAAACTTCATGAAGATAGTTTCCTGACCAGGATTCAAATTAAGGACCCTAGTGCTGCAAGGTAGGAATGCTAACTACTAAGGAAAGTTTGGAGGAGGGTAGGTGTTTGCAGGGTCAGTGTTGCCAATAGGCAAACTAGGCAGCTGCCTAGGGCACACTGCCACCTAGCGTGCAACAATGGCCACTGGTATACAGATCACACTAAACAGGATCTCAACATTGCTGTCCTGGGTTCCCCCTCCAGAGAAAGCGGACCTTGTCTGGTCTCGGTGGTTCTCCCTCAGAGAAAAGCTGAAGTCTGGCTCTGCACAACAGCTTCATTGCAGAGGAACCCGCAGAGGATCCAACTCCATCCCGGCACAGAGG